GGCTTTTTTTTTGCCGCCACATCACATTCCTGGCTCATGTTTAACTTGCTGTCCACGAGGACTTCAAGATCTTTTTCACATGTGCTGTTCTCGAGCCAGGCATCATTGTTCTGCATTCTGAGAACTTACCTATGCTGTCCTTGGCTCTGAAAGGGCCGGAACCACTGACCAAACACACACTTGCAGCCTTCAGAGTGTTGGTGTGAAGTAGAATCAATGGATGGGTCACCAGAGAGAGGAACAAGACATGTAAACAGACCTGCTCTGGGTCGGGGTCTCAGGTCCTTCTGCCTGCTCCCCTTTCCAAAATAGAAGTGGACAATTTGGCTCTGTGGCCATGTTATGACCTCCAGTGATGAATTGTAATGTAAATATCTGATATGCAGGATGTATTTTCATTCACTGGACCACATTTGGCACAAAAATACCCCATACGCCCAAGTTTGATTGATTTTGTCATTTGGGAGTAGTAGTTGCTGGGATTTATAGTTCAGCTACAATCAAAGAGCATTCTGAACCCCACCAACGACCCCCCCCCCTTTTCTGGGATTTATAGTTCACCTACAATCAAGAGCATTCTGAACCCCACCAAGGATAGAATTGGGCCAAACTTCCCACACAGAACCCCCATGACCAACAGAAAAAACTGTTGTGTTTTCTGATGGTCTTTGGTGACCCCTCTTACACCCCCCTTGCAACCCTTGAACCCCACCAACGATGGAATTGAACCAAACTTGGCACACAGAACTGCCATGACCAACAGAAAATACTGGAAGGATTTGTTGGGCATTGACCTTGAGTTTTGGAGTTGTAGTTCGCCTACATCCAGAGCACTGTGGACTCAAACAATGATGGATCTGGACCAAACTTGGCACAAATACTCAATATGCCCAAATGTGAACACTGGTGGAGTTTGGGGAAAAAGACCTTGACATTTGGGAGTTGTAGTTGCTGGGATTTATAGTTCACCTACAATCAAAGAGCATTCTGGACCCCACCAATGTTAGAATTGGGTCAAACTTCCCATACCAACAGAAAACACAGGAAGGGTTTGGTGGGCATTGACCTTGAGTTTGGAGTTGTAGTTCACCTACATCCAGAGAGCACTGTGGACTCAAACAATGATGGATCTGGACCAAACTTGGCACAATACTCAATATGCCCAAATGTGAACACTGGTGGAGTTTGGGGGAAAAGACCTTGACATTTGGGAGTTGTAGTTGCTGGGATTTATAGTTCACCTACAATCAAAAAGCATTATAGTTCACCTACAATCAAAGAGCATGCGCCTTGTCCGGGCACAACGACACCCGCGAGTAAGAGCGAACTCCACCAATGATGGAATTGAACCAGACTAGGCACACAGAACTCCCATGACCAACAGAAAATACTGGAAGGGTTTGGTGGGCATTGACCTTAAGTTTTGGAGTTGTAGTTCACCTACATCCAGAGAGCACTGTGGACTCAAACAATGATGGATCTGGACCAAACTTGGCACGAATACTCAATATGCCCAAATGTTAACACTGGTGGAGTTTGGGGGAAAATAGACCTTGACCTTTGGGAGTGGTAATTGCTGGGATTTATAGTTCACCTAATCAGAGAACATTCTGAACTCCACCAATGACAGATTTGGGCCAAACTTCCTATACAGAAACCCCATGACCAACAGAAAATACTGTGTTTTCTGATGGTCTTTAGTGACCCCTCTGACACCCCCCCTCGCAACCCCCCCCCCCCCCAGGGGTCCTCCGTGACATCCTGACCAAATTTCCTCCGTGACATCCTGACCAAATCATCTTGACTGAATCAATATATCCATTTCAAAGCAAGCCGGCTTGTGAGTGGCTATTTACTATTGCTATTTAGATCCTACAGTCTGATGTAGGATCTAATGTCCTTTCCAGGACAACATTGAGAAATGCTGGTCCTGGACTTCAGCCTTTCATGTGTGCCCCCCTCCCTCCAGATCAGAAAAGACCCGCTTGCCCGTTCCATCTCTGGAAGTTAAGACACTGAGGCGGTGGTGCTGTTTGCTTGTCTTTATTGAAGGGGAAGGCGTGCATGGCATGCACACATGCGCCTTGTCCGGTCACAACGAGGCCCGCGAGTAAGAGCGAAAGGAAAAGCCAACCAAACCCAAACACTACAGAAATCTAGGGAATGCCCCAAAGAAGTGCAAGGCAGTGGGGCAGGTGTGCATGCTTTTGGAGCCACGGTCCCCCAACCATATCCCCCCAAAATATTCAAAATGTACACATTGAACCCTGCCCTGTCCTGCCTTTGAGTGAATTAATGGCCCTCAAAACCCCAAATGTGGGGATTATTGGGGTCAATGTTGAAGACTTGCGAACTGTTGTATTGTGAAACCCTCGCTCATTGACTCCTCGTTAACTAGGAATAACAAGGATTATAACTTCTTCCTATATCTAGGATGCCGACATATTCCTGGACCAATTTCTGGTTGGGTCAGACATCTAGGAGAACTTTTTCCCAACTGTTTACAAGAGATGAGGAATGAGGTTTCCTTCCCAGCCTTGCTGGCTCTTTCCAGCCTTTGAGTCATGGCAGTTCAAGTGGTATCGAACCGCATTAATTCCACAGTGTAGAGGTGCTTCTGGATGTGGGGCAAAGGAGTCTTCCCAGAATTATTTGTGATTATTTGAAAGGTGGCATTGTCACTATTGTCGAAGGCTTTCATGGCCGGAATCACTGGGTTGTGACGTTTTGCCTGCATCTATGGCAAGCATCCTCAGGGGTGGATGAGGATGCTTGCCATAGATGCAGGCGAAACGTCAGGAGAGAATGCCTCTAGAGCATGGCCATATAGCCCGAAAAAACCTACAACAACCCATTGTCGCTATTACTTTTTTTGTTGAAGGTCACTGAGAGCCTTAAGCACGCTGTGGGGGTGTTGCTGGACTGCAGGTCCCATCGGATCAACCAAGTGGGGGATAATGGAAGTTGTATGTCAGGGGTCAATTTCTGACGGCATGAATTGAGTCAATTTTTGACGGCATGAAGACATCACAAATTCCCTCCGTGACATCCTGACCAAGTCATCTTGACTGAATCAATACATCCATTTCAAAGTAAGCCGGCTTGTGAGTGGTTATTTAATATTGCTATTTAGATCCTACAGTCTGATGTAGGATCTAATGGCCTTTCCAGGACCACATTTTCTTGGCTGTATTGGAGATGAACTGGCTGCCTGCAGCCATCTTCCTTCAAAGGGGGCAATCTAAGGGAACTGGAGTTGCTAAGGTTGTGCCTTGAAGGGTATTTTTCTCTTACGGCGACTTTCTTCCTTGCTGTGTGCAGCTTGGCTCACTTGCCAGAGCCAGCTGGAGCATTGGGGCCTGAGGACAGATATTCAGCACAGAGCTGACTTGCACTACAAAGGTAATTTGGCTTTGGTTTGGGTTAGTTGGTTAGTTTGGACACAGTTGTGGCAGGGAGAAGCTAAAGTGGGGAAAGACGCCTGTGGGTTTTGCCTGAGGGTCAGACTACATGACTTTTAGCTAAGTGGGCAAAAAGACCATTGGATCTTGTCCGAGGGTCAGACTAGATGACCTTTAGCTAAGTGAGTAAAGAGGTCTTTGGGTTTTGTCTGAGGATCAGACTAGATGACCTTTAGCTAAGTGGACAAAGAGGCCTTTGGGTCTTCTCCAAGGGTCAGACTAGATGACATTTAGCTAATTGGGCAAAGAGGCCTTTGGGTTTTGTCTGAAGGTCGGACTAGATGACCTTTAGCTAAGTGGGCAAAAAGGCCTTTGGGTCTTGTCCGAGGGTCAGACTAGATGACCTTTAGCTAAGTGGGTAAAGCGGACTTTGGGTTGTGTCCGAGGGTCAGACTAGATGAACTTTAGCTGTGGGCAAAGCGACCTTTGGGTTTTCTCCAAGGGTCAGATTAAATTACCTTTAGCTAAGTGGGCAAAGTGACCTTTGGGTTTTGTCTGAGGGTCAGACTAGATGACCTTTAGCTAAGTGAGTAAAGAGGTCTTTGGGTTTTCTCTGAGGGTCAGACTAGATGACCTTTAGCTAAGTGGGCAAAGAGGCCTGTGGGGTTTGTCCAAGGGTCAGATTAGATGACCTTTAGCTAAGTGGGTAAAGAGGCCTTTGGGTTTTGTCCAAGGGTCAGACTAGATGACCTTTAGCTAAGTGAACAAAGAGACCTGTGGGGGTTAGTCCAAGGGTCAGACTAGATGACCTTTAGTTAAGTGGACAAAGAGGCCTTTGGGTCTTCTCCAAGGGTCAGACTAGATGACCTTTAGCTAAGTGGACAAAGAGGCCTTTGGGTTTTGTCTGAAGGTCAGACCAGATGACCTTTAACTAAATGGGCAAAGGGACCTTTGGGTTTTGTCCGAGGGTCAGACTAGTTGACTTTTAGCTAAGTGGGCAAAGAGGCCTATGGGGTTTGTCCGAGGGTCAGACTAGATGACCTTTAGTTAAGTGGGCATAGGGACCTTGGGTTTTTGCACTAGATGACCTTTAGCTAAGTGGGCTAAGAGACCTTTGGGTTTTGATGTAGGGTCAGACTAGATGACCTTTCCCTAAGTGGACAAAGAGGCCTTTGGGTTTTGTCTGAAGGTCGGACTAGATGACATTTAGCTAAGTGGACAAAGAGGCCTTTGGGTCTTCTCCAAGGGTCAGACTAGATGACCTTTAGCTAAGTGGGTAAAGAGGTCTTTGGGTTGTGTCTGAGGGTCAGACTAGATGACCTTTAGCTAAGTGGACAAAGAGGCCTTTGCCCTTCTCCAAGGGTCAGACTAGATGATCTTTAGCTAAGTGGGCAAAGAGGCCTTTGGGTCTTCTCCAAGGGTCAGACTAGATGACATTTAGCAAAGTGGGCAAAAAGACCTTTTGGTCTTGTCCGAAGGTCAGACTAGATGACCTTTAGCTAAGTGGGCAAAGAGGCCTTTGAGTTTTGTCCAAGGGTCAGACCAGATGACATTTAGCTAAGTGGGCTAAAAGGCCTTTTGCTCTTGTCCGAGGACTAGATGACCTTTAGCTAAGTGGGCATAGGGACCTTGGGTTTTTGGACTAGATGACCTTTAGCTAAGTGGACGAAGAGGCCTTTGGGTCTTGTCCAAGGGTCAGACCAGATGACCTTTAGCTGAGTGGGTAAAGAGGTCTTTGGGTTGTGTCCGAGGGTCAGACTAGATGACCTCTAGCTAAGGGGCTTTTGAGCATGCCTTGAGAGGCTATAATGTAGGGGCTTGAAAGGAGCGCAAGGAAGGAATGGGCCAGTGTGAGGGTCCCCATGTGGCGTCCACTGCACCCCTACATTTGCATTGCATGCATACGCTGAGACCACTAATCTCTGGACGGAGGAGAAAGGCGTGAAGGGAGGCGTCTCGATTGGGGATCCAGGCGGGCAATGCTGTGCAGGCAGGAAAGTGCAGGAGGAAGCATGGCGCAAGGGCGGGCATGGGTTCGCTCCCCATTTGGGGCACCACAAGGTCATCAGTGAGGCAGGTGGCGATGGAGGGAGGGATGGTGGGTGGGCAGCAGTCCTCTTCACATGCCTAGAGAGCTGTGGGAGGATCCAAAGCAGGTCATCAGCCCCTTCACCCTAGGGTTGCATGGAAACACAGCGTTGAAAGGGGCACCCAGAGGACATCCAGTCCAACCCCCATTCAGTCCAACCCATCCAGTCTCTACTCAGAAACCTCCAGAGCTTCCGTAGGATTCCCAGGCAGCTTGGTTGCCCTTCTCCAATCCGCAAAGAAGGGAGGAAGAACCGCAGGGCGAGAGCGCTGCCTTGAAAGCGGCTCTGAGTCTAGTTCTGGGATTCTTACCTTGGGATGAGAGCGCCTCCTCTGACTCTACTTCGTGGTCCTCACCTGAGGATGATAGAATCGTAATAGAGTTGGAAGAGACCACATGGGGACATCTAATCCAATCTTCTGTCATATAGAAAAAGCACCATCAAAGCACCCCCGACAGATGGCCAGGAGAGGAAAACTTTCTGGGAAGTTATGGGTCTTTTATGAAGTCTCTCCCCCTGGCCTTGGGCCCAATCTCCACTGACCATTGTCGCCAAGGAAGGCTCCGTGAGCAAAGGTCCACTCAAGGCCCCTGTCCTTCAAACCCAAAACACTGAGAAGAACTTACTTTCTTGAGACTCGTGAGAATGGATCGTTGCATCCGCAGCCGGACCTGCAAAAGACACAAGCGTGTGTGTGGTTCCATGATGGAATGGGGTTCAAATGGATGGTCTTTAGCCAACTAAATGGCTGGTGAAAGGACCCTCTAAAGACCCTCTAAAGACCATCCAGACCAACCCTATTCCACCAAAAGATAGTCATCCATCCTCTATGACGAAGCCTCCAGAGAAGGAGCCTTCAGCAGCTTCCCAGAGTTGTAAGGGATTCCCAGTTTCCATGTAGACTGGATCCCTTCTGCAAGGTGGGAGGACACCATCCAAGCCCTCCCAGGAGATAGCCACCCAGTCTCTATGACGAAGCCTCCAGAGAAGGAGCCTCTACCAGCTTCTCAGAGTTGGAAGAGATTCCCAGTTTCCATGTAGACTGGATCCCTTCTGCAAGGCAGGAGGACACCATCCAAGCCCTCCCATAGAGCCACCCAGTCTCTATGACGAAGCCTCCAGAGAAGGAGTCTCCACCAGCTTCCCAGAGTTGGAATATTGGATCCCTTCTGCAAGGCAGGAGGACACCATCCAAGCCCTCCCAAGAGATAGCCACCCAGTCTCTATGACGAAGCCTCCAGAGAAGGAGTCTCCACCAGCTTCCCAGAGTTGGAAGATTGGATCCCTTCTGCAAGGCAGGAGGACACCATCCAAGCCCTCCCAAGAGATAGCCACCCAGTCTCTATGACGAAGCCTCCAGAGAAGGAGTCTCCACCAGCTTCCCAAAGTTGGAAGACTGGATCCCTTCTGCAAGGCAGGAGGACACCATCCAAGCCCTCCCAAGAGATAGCCACCCAGCCTCTATGACGAAGCCTCCAGAGAAGGAGCCTCCACCGGCTTCCCAGAGCTGGAAGAGATTCCCAGTTTCCATGTAGACTGGAGGCAGGAGGACACCATCCAAGCCCTCCCAAGAGATAGCCATCCAGCAGTTGCTTCCAGAGAAGAAGACTCCGCCAGACTCTCAACAAATTCCACTAGAGCTTGAAGAGCTCTCCAAAACCCATTTGGTCCAACTCCCTTTTCGCCAGGTAGGAAGCCACAACAAAAGTCCTCCCAGCAGATGACCACTCAGCCTCTTTGAATGGAAAAGGGAGATGGGCTCCATACAAAGACCTGCCTCCCATGAAGGGTTGGGTTGGCTTTGGACAGGGTTTGGTAGAGGAATCCTATCACCCCCAACCCTATAATAATTCCCATCTTTGGGGCCTACCACTCTGTGCATCTCCTGGCAGAGGGTCCAGGTTGAAGGAGCCCAGGTTGGAGGCTTCGTTGTCGAGGAGCAGCTCCCCTTCACCCAGTTGGGACCGGTCAGCGGCCGCAAAGCTGATGAGGTCCGCTCCTGTCCAGAGACAGAAAGGGTTTCAGCAAAGGGGGATCTACTTTGCACCTCATCCTTGTCCCGGAACCTTGGGCCCTCCCTCCAGGGCAAACTTAAGCCCTCCAGGTGTTTTGGACTTCAACAGCCGGTAGGCTGTTAGGAATTGTGGGAGTTGAAGTCCAAAACACCTGGAGGGAGGGCCCAAGTTGGCCCATGCCAGCAACAGAAAATGCAGAGAGAGGATGGAGGGAGGCTTGTACACTTACCTGCCGTCACCTGTTCCATGGGGCTCCCGATCTCACCTGGGGGCAGGAAGGGAAGTGTCAAAGGAATCCACACCATTCCATATTTTCACCTGTTCGCCCCAACTGTTCTGTCTCCTCTGCCTTTGCCCTCTCTCTATCTCAGAGCCTCTGGCCAGAGAGAATTGGGGGCTCTCCTTTGGGGGGGGGGCACTTTCTTACCTTGCAGTTGGATGCCAAACATGCAAAAGCTCCCTCCCTCTCCCATCTCTAGGATTTCACTCACTTTCTCCCGAAGCCTCGGATTTGCCGGAGATGACAGGCTCTGAGTTTACCATTGGCTCTGGAAGAGAGGTAGAGAAGGCATCACAGGCCAATGAGATGGATGGATTAGATAAATTAGATAAGATAAATAAATGAATGGGTAGATAGAAAATAGATGGATAGATGGATGCATGGATGGATGGATGGATGGATGGATGGATGGATAGATAGTAGATGGTTGGATGGATGAATGGATAGATACATAGATACATAAATAGACAATAGATATAAAGATGGATGGATGAATGGATGGATGCATGGATGGATGGATAGATAGCAGATGGTTGGATGGATGGATGGATAGATACATAGATAGACAATAGATAGACAATAGATATAAAGATGGATGGATGAATGGATGGATGCATGGATGGATGGATAGATAGCAGATGGTTGGATGGATGGATGGATAGATACATAGATAGACAATAGATATAAAGATGGATGGATGGATGGATAGCAGATGGTTGGATGGATGAATGGATAGATAGATAGATAGATAGATAGATAGAATATAAAGATGGATGGATGGATGGATAGCAGATGGATAGCAGATGGATGCATGGATAGATGGAAGGATGGATAGACAGAAAGACAGACACAGACAAATGGGTGGATGGATAGAGCTAGATAGACAGACAGATGAATGGGTGGATGGATGGAGATAGATAGATGATAGATAGATAGATAGAATAGATAGATAGATAGATAGATAGATAGATAAGATAGATACAGATGGGCCAAATACGAAGGGAGAAAATTGTAAAACCCATGGGTGAGATAGATAGATAGATAGATAGATAGATAGATAGATAGATAGATAGATAGATAGATAGATGGATAGGCAGACATGGGTATGGACAGACAAACAAACAAATGGGTGGATGGATGGATAGACAAATGAGTGGACAGATAAATAGAGAGGTTGGTTGGTGGATGGATGGATGGATGGATGGATAGAGAGAGAGCTAAAGATCATCTAGTCTGACCCTTGGACAAGACCCAAAGGCCTCTTTGTCCACTTAGCTAAAGGTCATGTATAGACAGAAAAATGGATAGATAGATAGATAGATAGATAGATAGATAGATAGATAGATAGATAGATAGATAGATAGATAGATAGACAGACAAATGAGTGGGTGAATAGATAGACAGGTGACTGGATGGATGGATGGATGGATGGATGGATGGATGGATGGATGGATGGATGGATGGATAGACAATTGGGTGGGTGGGTGGATAGATGGATGGACCGACAGATGACTGGATGGACGGACGGACAGACAGACAGATGAATGGGTGGATAGATCCATGGCTAGGTGGATAGACAAGACAGGATAGAATGATAGAGGGATTGGGTTTTGGGGATCTTCTCCCTCTCCTTGAGCACTCATGTCCCATTGCCCTCCAACTGTCCCAGAGGGCATCTACACTGCAGAATTAATGCATTTTGGTCGGCGCTTCAACTACTATGGCTCAATGCTATGGAATCCTGAGTCAGAGGTTCACAGGAGGGCTGGTGATTCATTAAAACCACAACTCCCAGGAGTTTAAAGATGCACAACAACTATCCGACCCCACTTAAGTTGAGAAAGAAAGCTTTGAGCAATCCTTTGCTCTACCTGTTGTCTGGCTCCCTGCCGGAGTGGTGGGGTCCGAAGAAGTCAGGGGTTCTGTGGGGAAAAGAGAGACGGTTAGTGTTATCATTACCATTATCATTATTATGGGAGCCTCACAAGCCATGGGTTAGTGACACCTCCCCTGCCAAGCCATCGGGGACTACCTGCACCTTATGAAAACAGGTATGGATGAGTGAGTGGATGGATGGATGGACAGATAGATAGATAGATAGATAGATAGATAGATAGATAGATAGATAGATAGATAGATAGATAGAGGGTGGATGGATGGATGGATGGATGGATGGATGGATGGATGGATGGACAAATGGGTGGATGAATAAATAGACAGGTCGCTGGGTGGATGGATAGACAAGAGACAGACAGACAGACAGACAGACAAATGGGTGAATGGATGGATAGACAAATGGGTGACTGGGTGGATGGATGGATGGATGGATGGATAGATAGATAGATAGATAGATAGATAGATAGATAGATAGATAGATAGATAGATAGATAGATTAGATAGGTCAGAAATTGCAATATTCAGAAACCTATCTCAGCTTCTCTGGAGAGACTTAGCATGGCTATTCTAAGACCAGAAGCAACTGGTCTTAGACCCAGTTCAATGTTCTCTCTCCTCCAGATCCATGCTGATGGTTCTCAATTGGACATGAGGGAGGCCTCAAGTTTGCCCAGGCCTGGTGTAATGTCTTTGAGTTCTACCAGCTCAGCTTGAGGTTGGTTCTGTCTGTCTTTCTGCCAAAGAGGAGTTCTCAGTGTTGGGACTCTAAATCCTCCCTGAGTCCAATCCGCTCTGAGTCCCTTTGGGGAGATAGGGCGGAATATAAATAAATAAATAAATAAATTATTATTATTATTATTTGAGCCTGGCTTGCTTTTAACGCCATTGTCAGTCTGTAGGATCTAAGTAGCAATATTAAATAACCACTCACAAGCCGGCTTGCTTTGAAATGGATATATTGCTTGTATCTCTGCAGCAAAGAAAGACACTACTGACTTTTTCCCTACCACCACTTCCTTTTATACACCTTTCCTGCCCATCTCCCCCTCTTCTCAGTTTCCTTATTAGAACTTGTTGCTTCACAAGTTCCATAACACGGTTTCAGAATGTCACAGAGAGAATTGATTCAGTCAGGATGACATGGAGGGAATTTGCGATGTCTTCATGTCGTCAGGAATTGACTCCTGACAGCCATTGCCTCCAAGTCATGACGCAACCCATGGTTTCTATTGCAGCCAGTGATGCTCAGCTCCCTTCTTTCACTAGCTCAGGGCCTCCCAGTTTTGACACTGCCTTCCTTCTATTATAGGTGAGTTATGGGGTGCAACTTACGATCGGCCGCTACAATGGCCAGGAGCAGGACCACCGCAGCTGCGAGTGCCAGGACCCTGCGAGATAAAAGAGGTGAATGCGAATGTTATTGGTTCTGATCCTGGTTGACTTGAGGGCACCATAGAATCCTACAGTTAAGACCTCAAGGGCCCTCCAATGCAAGTCCCTTCTTCCAAGCAGGAAGGCACAGTCAAAGCCCTCCTTACAGATGACTACCCAGCGTCTGCTTGGAGAGAAGGAAGGAGATGCCACTACACTCCCGCTGCAAAACAGGTTGTTCTGTTGAATCCATTGCTCCAACTTCTCCAACTACCCAGCTCCCTAATCCACTCCTTAGGGTGATCCATGGCTTCCAGGCTTTTCACCATTTTGGTGGACACCTTCCATCTTCTTAATATCCCTCTCTTGAATGGTTTTGCCCAAAACGGGACATGGGGTTATTATTCCATGTGGGAGGTCTTCCCAAAGCAGAAAAGAGTGGGACTAGCCATCTTATCACATTGGGAAATTTCTCAGTTGTGGGACAATTCAGCCTCTTTTCGAGCATGGAGAAGCACGGAGCTCATCACATGAGTTAAGCTATCGGGTTGTGGCAGAGCTAGTTGGGAGTCAGCTGCATTAAAATCACTATTCACTGAAAGGTCATGAGTTTGAAGCCAGCACAGGTCAGAGTAAGCTACCGACCATTTGTCACGGTAGTCCACGCTCTGGTTACATCCCGTATAGACTACTGCAACGCTCTCTACGTGGGGTTGCCTTTGAAGACTGCTCGGAAGCTCCAAATGGTCCAACATTCGGCAGCCAGGATATTAACAGGAGCGGCACTCAGGGAGCACACCACTCCACTGCTGTGTCAGCTCCACTGGCTGCCAATTTGCTACCGGGCACAATTCAAAGTGCTGGCTTTAGCCTTTAAAGCCCTAAACGGTTCTGGCCCGACCTACCTGTCCGAACGCATCTCCTCCTATGAACCAGTTAGGACATTAAGATCAACTGGGGAGGCCCTGCTTTCGGTCCCGTCTGCATCACAGGTACATCTGGCGGGGACGAAAGACAGGGCCTTCTCAGTGGTGGCCCCTCAGCTGTGGAACGCCCTTCCCACAGAAATTAGATCGGCCCCCTCCCTATTTGCATTTTGGAGGAAAGTGAAGACCTGGTTGTTTGAGCAGGCATTTGAATAGGCAGTGTAATGAACATAGAAATACGGAGCAACAGATGATGAGATTAGATCTTGATTTTGCTCGAGATGCTAATGAGATTTATATTGATGTTTAACTGTTTATCATTTACTATTTTAATCGTTTTAACTGTTTTTTATGATGTCAAGCATTGAATTTTTGCTATTGTTAACCGCTTTGAGTCACCCGAGGGCTGAGAAAAGCGGTATATAAATGAAGTAAATAAATAAATGAATAAATTTGTCTAGCTTGCTGTCGACCTTTGCAGCCCGAAAGACTGTTGCATCTGTCAAGTAGGAAAATTAGGTACCGCTTATGTGGGGGAGGCTAATTTAGCTAATTTACGAGGCCATAAAATTCTCCAGCAGCTGCAAAAGAATGAGGAAGGACTCCATCGGTACCACAAGTGGACAGCGGAGCAACAGCTCACCCGGTGGCCAGAATTCGAGCATGCCCCCATGAAGTTAGAAAGTTAAATTGCCTCTGAGTGTCTGTCTATATATGTTGTGTGTCTATGGCAGTGTTTCTCAACCTGGGGGTCGGGACCCCTGAGGGGGTCGTAAGGGGGTGTCAGAGGGATCGCCAAAGACCATCAGAAAACACAGTATTTTCTGATGGTCATGGGGATTCCATGTGGGAAGTTTGAGCCAATTCTGTCGTTGGTGGAGTTCAGAATATTCTTTGATTGTAGGTGAACTATAAATCCCAGCAACTACAACTCCCAAAAGTCAAGGTCTATTTTCCCCGGGCTCCACCAGTGTTCCCATTTGCACATATTGAGTATTTGTGCCAAGTTTGGATGAGTCCACCATGCTCTCTGCATATAGGTGAACTACAACTCCCAAACTCAAGGTCAATGCCCACCAAACCCTTCCAGTATTTTCTGTTGGTCATGGAAGTTCTGTGTGTCAAGTTTGGTTCAGTTCCATCATTGGTGGAGTTCAGAATGCTCTTTGATTGTAGGTGAACTATAAATCCCAGCAACTACAACTCCCAAATGTCAAGGTCTATTTTCCCCAAACTCTACCAGTGTTTGTACATTTGGGCATATTGAGAATTTGTGCCAAGTTCGGTCCAGAACCATCGTTGTTTGAGTCCACAATGCTCTCTGGATGTAGGTGAACTACAACTCCCAAACTCAAGGTCAATGCCCATCAAACTCTTCCAGTATTTTCGGTTGGTCATGGGAGTTCTGTGTGCCAAGTTTGGTTTAACTCCATCACTGGTGGAGTTCAGAATGCTCTTTGATTGTAGGTGAACTATAAATCCCAGCAACTACAACTCCCAAATGTCAAGGTCTATTTTCCCCAAACTCCACCAGTGTTCACATTTGGGCATATTGAGTATTTGTGCCAAGTTTGGTCCTGATCCATCATTGCGTGAGTCCACAGTGCTCTCTGGATATAGGTGAACTACAACTCCCAAACTCAAGGTCAATACCCACCAAACCCTTCCAGTGTTTTCTGTTGGTCATGGGAGTTCTGTGTGGCAAATTAGGTTCAAATCCATCACTGGTGGAGTTCAGAATGCTCTTTGATTATAGGTGAACTATAAATCCCAGCAACTACAACTCCCAAATTACAAAATCAATCCTTCCCCCAACGCCACTAGCATTTACATGTGGTGCATTGGGTATTTGTGCCCAGTTTGGTCCAGTGAATGAAAATACATCTTGCATATCTGATATTTACATTATGATTTATAACAGTAGTAAAATGACTATTATGAAGTAGCAACAAAAACAATGTTATGGTTGGGGGTCATCACAACATGAGAGACTGTATTAAGGGGTCACAGCATTAGGAAGGTTGAGAACCACTGGTCTATGGCATTGAATGTTTGCCATGTATATGTGCATTGTGATCGGCTCTGAGTTCCTGCGGCGTGAGAAGGGCGGAATATAAATATTGTAAATCAATCAATAAATAAAGACTTCTGGCCGTCATGCATAGCCCTCCGTGGTTGAAAAGAGGCTGAAGTGTCCTGAAAGGATGAAACTCCAGCAATCCTGCCTCTTCTCACACTTCACTCCCATGTTTACATGCGAAAAACAGGTAAGATGGGAACCATCAAACGTTTCCCCCCGTCCTGTTTCGTTGCCCAACCCTTCACAGTGGTTTTAACCTATGGGGTTTGGTGCAGAACCATAGGATCCTATGGAAAGAACTGGTTTTCACCTGGTGCCAGTCTCCATTAGTGTCAGGGGCTTTGGGCCTCTTGGATTTCGGATATTGTTGTGTCTCCTGATCAACAACAAACAACTAATACTGACGTTGTGATGAATGTAAAAGAGGAATGTTGCCCGGATGCTTGTGGGAAGCTTTTCTCATGCCGCTGCATGGGGAGCTGGAGCTGACAGAGGGAGCTCAACTCGCTCTCCCCCGGATTCGAACTTGCAACCTGTCAGTCTTCAGTCGTATATGTTGGTTGAACCCTTGTGCCACCGGGGTTTCCAGTGGTGGGGTGAGCTCCCGTCTGTCAGCCCCAGCTTCTCATGCAGGGACATGAGAGAAACCTTGTGATGAATGTAAAAGAGGAATGTTGCCCGGATGTTTGACCATCCTCGTGGGACAGCTTCTCATGCAGGGACATGAGAGAAACCTTGTGATGAATGTAAAAGAGGAATGTTGCCCGGATGTTTGACCATCCTCGTGGGAAGCTTTTCTCATGTCTCTACATGGGGAGCTGGAGCTGACAGAGGGAGCTCAACTCGCTCTCCCCCGGATTCAAACTTGCAACCTGTCAGTCTTCAGTCGTATATGTTGGTTGAACCCTTGTGCCACCGGGGTTTCCAGTGGTGGGGTGAGCTCCCGTCTGTCAGCCCCAGCTTCTCATGCAGGGACATGAGAGAAACCTTGTGATGAATGTAAAAGAGGAATGTTGCCCGGATGTTTGACCATCCTCGTGGGAAGCTTTTCTCATGTCCCTGCATGGGGAGCTGAAGCTGACAGAGGGAGCTCAATCTGCTCTCGTCGGATTCAAACCTCCGATTTGTTCGTCTTCAGTCCTGCCAGCACAAGGGTTTAACCCATTGTGCCACCGGGGTTTCCAGTGGTGGGGTGAGCTCCCATCTGTTAGCCCCAGCTTCTCATGCCGGGACATGAGAGAAGCCTCCCATGGGATGGTAACTTATCCGGGCAATGCCCTTGCAGACGGCTAATTCTCTCACACCAGAAGCGACTTGGAGTTTCTCAAGTCACTCCTAACACCAAAAAAAGGAGTGACCAAGGTAGAACAGAGTGGGATTATGACTTCCCTCGATCAGGACACTCTGCTTCTCTCTGGCCTGGACGTTGTGTCTCTGTCCTTTCCAACTAGCTGGACATTCCGGCCATTGGGCGAACCGTGATGATGTGACCAGCGAGGGACAGCTTGACCCCTAGTGCTGACCTCTCTAGTTGGCACTGTGGCCTCAGTGGCCAAAGAGGAACAAGCTTGACCCCCCAGCCTCTTTCCATGCAGTCCCCACTGGCCTCGGATGACCGGTCACTCACCTGTGTTGCACCTGCATGATCGCAAATAACGATTTGGACCAAAACAGAAGGCGAATTCAGGAAGCAGCAACTGGACGCCTTCTGTGTGCAGAGAAGTGGATGGGAGAAAGGGCCCCCTTATATGGGTCACTCCGTCCAGGGAGGGGTCCGGCCCCACACCTTCGGGAGGGGCAGCAGCCAATCTCTGGGCTCGTGGGGCGGGATCAGGGAGAAGCGCACCTGAGAAGCCTCTTTGCTCCCAGGTAATGGGTCACCTGGCGTTCTGGCCCCTCCTGGTCTCCAGGTGGCACAATTGGGGAGAAGGGGGGTTGAAGTGGGGCCAATGGGGCAGAACCCAGCCTCTGATGCAACTCTCAGAACCCTTTCCATACATTTCCCCGAAAGAGGAAGACCACCTGCTTCATTCACATCGAGACAACTCTGGGTCTTATCTACACTATGCAATTAACGCGATTTAACATCACTTTTGGAGTGCACCTGCACTAGAGAATAAATGCAGTTTAAACCCTCAGGAAGATGATAATAAGGTGTGGTCCTCTTGGAAGTTAAAGCCCAAAACACCTGGAGGGCCCAAGTTTGCCCATGCCTGCTCTACTGGGAGGGGGTTGGACTAGATGGCCTCTGAGGTTCCCAGACTAGGAACCCTGCCGAATTATTATTATTATTATTATTATTATTATTATTATTATTATTACTAGCCGTCCCCTACCACGCGTTGCTGTGGCCCTCATGGGGGTTCTGTGTGGGAGGTTTGGCCCAATTCTATCGTTGGTGGGGTTCAGAATGCTCTTTGATTGTAGGTGAACTATAAATCCCAGCAACTCCAACTCCCAAATGTCAAGGTCTATTTTCCCCAAACTCCACCAGTGTCCACATTTGGGCGTATTGAGTATTCATACCAAGTTTGGTCCAGATCCATCCATGTTGGAGTCCACAGTGATCTCTGGATGTAGGTGAACTACAACTCCAAAACCAGAGGACACTGCCCACCAAACCCTTCCAGTATTTTCTGTTGGTCATGGGAGAACTGTGTGCCAAGTTTGGTTCAATTCCATCGTTGGTGGGGTTCAGAATGCTCTTTGATTGTAGGTGAACTATAAATCCCAGCAACTACAACACCCAAAGGTCAAGATTCTATTTTCCCCAAACTCCACCAGTGTTTACATTTGGGCATATTGAGTATTTGTGCAGAGTTTGGTTCAGATCCATCATTGATTGAGTCCAGAGTGATCTCTGGATGTAGGTGAACTACAACTCCAAAATCAAAGGACACTGCCCACCAAACCCTTCCAGTCTTCTCTGTTGGTCATGGGAGAACTGTGTGCCAAGTTTGGTTCAATTCCATCGTTGGTGGGGTTCAGAATGCTCTTTCATTGTAGATGAACTATAAATCCCAGCAACTACAACTCCCAAATGACAAAATCAATGTTTTTTGAGTGAAGGACACCCATTGGGTTGTTAGGTGTCTTGTGTCCAAATTTGGTGTCAATTCATCCAGTGGTTTTTGACTTACGTTAATCCCACAAACGAACATCCCACAATCCTCACTACCTCTGAGGATGCTTGCCATAGATGCAGGCGAAACGTCAGGAGAAAATGCCTCTAGAACATGGCCATATAGCCCGAAAAACCTACAACAAACCATTATTATTATTATTATTATTATTATTATTATTATTTATAACCTGCTTTATCTCCTCCAAAAGGGACTCAAAAGAATGCAACTTGACCTTACTTTAATGCTACGGCATCCTGGAAGTTGTAGTTTGGTGACGCACCAGCGTTCTTTGGCAGAGAAGGGTAAAGACCTTGTAAAACTACAACTCCCACGATTCCGTAACATTGAGTCATGGGGACTCAAAAGAATGCAACTTGACCTTACTTTAATGCTACGGCATCCTGGAAGTTGTAGTTTGGTGGCGCTTCCAGCACTCTTTGGCAGAGAAGGGTAAAGAGACCTTGTAAAACTACAACTCCCACGATTCCGTAACATTGAGTCATGGGGACTCAAAAGAATGCAACTTGACCTTACTTTAATGCTACGGCATCCTGGAAGTTGTAGTTTGGTGACGCACCAGCACTCTTTGGCAGAGAAGGGTAAAGACCTTGTAAAACTACAACTCCCACGATTCCGTAACATTGAGTCATGGGGACTCAAAAGAATGCAACTTGACCTTACTTTAATGCTACGGCATCCTGGAAGTTGTAGTTTGGTGGCGCTTCCGGCACTCTTTGGCAGAGAAGGGCAAAGACCTTGTAAAACTACAACTCCCACGATTCCGTAACATTGAGTCATGGGGACTCAAAAGAATGCAACTTGACCTTACTTTAATGCTACGGCATGCTGGAAGTTGTAGTTTGGTGGCGCACCAGCGTTCTTTGGCAGAGAAGGGTAAAGACCTTGTAAAACTACAACTCCCACAATTCCGTAACATTGAGTCACGGTGACTCAAAAGAATGCAACTTGACCTTACTTTAATGCTACGGCATGCTGGAAGTTGTAGTTTGGTGGCGCTTCCAGCACTCTTTGGCAGAGAAGGGTAAAGACCTTGTAAAACTACAACTCCCACGATTCCGTAACATTGAGTCATGGGGACTCAAAAGAATGCAACTTGACCTTACTTTAATGCTACGGCATGCTGGAAGTTGTAGTTTGGTGGCGCTTCCAGCACTCTTTGGCAGAGAAGGGTAAAGACCTTGTAAAACTACAACTCCCACGACTCCATAGCATTGAGTCATGGCAGTCAAAGCGGGGTCAAACGGCATCGTATACACACCCATTGACTTGAGTTTCCTCTCTTTCTCTGGAGGTTTTTAAGCAGAAGCTGGTTGGGCGTCTGTCGCGAGGGCTTTGGTTGTGTCTTCTTGTCTGACAACTGATGGCTTTTGGGGTCTTCTCCCAACTCTAGGATTCTGCAATTCTGGCCTTGGGGTCACCTCCCAGCCAATGCCCATTGCCAGCCCCCTCCTCTTGCGCCTTGGCCCACCTGAGACAAAGGCTGCTTTGTGGGCTTGGAGCATCTCAATGGGCTTTTTGTTCGGGCCTCCCTCCCTCCTGCCCCTCCTTCTTTTGGCTCACCTGGATTACCTGGATTAAAGGCTCCGCCAGTCATGGGAATGGAGGGCGGGGACGAGGGCCAGATCCACCTGCAAAGGCGCATTGTCTCAGGGGAGAACGGAGGCACGTGGATGCCCACTATGTGCTGGCAAAGGCTTTCATGGCCAGACTGACTGGGTTGCTGTGAGTGTTTCGGGCTGTGTGGCCATGTTCCAGTAGCATTCTCTTCTGATGTTTCACCTGCACCTGTGGCTGGCATCCTCAGTGGTCCGTTGACAGTGGGACAAGTGGAGTGTGTGTATATAAATATCTATATATATAAAAATGTTCTGTGCATAATGAGGTCCTTAAAAACAAAAGAACCAATGAACGAAATCACACCAAATTTGGCAACAAAATGTCTCACAACACAAGGAGTGACCATCACTCAAAAATTATGATTTTGTCATTTGGGAGTTGTAGTTCCTGGGATTTATAGTTCAAATGGTGGGATTTAACAGACCTCTGACAACTCGAAACAGCTCTGCTGGATGGTTCTTTGCGTATGCAATATTGGCTGCAAAGAAAGATTTCTTTGCGGCCTTTATTGCTGCGGCGTATGCCCTTAAAAAGTGCATACGCATATCAACAGCATATTGGAGTTCCATAACAGAGATTGTTGTAACCTTGGTTTTGGCTTTCAGTCTGCAGAGGTTAAATAGCTTGCCATCTGTCTGATAGATGATTTCCACTCTGGTGGGAAGCTTCCCATCAACAAGGTGCAGTATCATAACGATAAAGATGGAGAATAAAGTTGGGGCAAGAACACATCCCTGTTTGACACCGGATTCCTTAAATGGGTCACTTTGGGAGCCATTGTTGTCCAAGACTGTTGCCATCATGTCATCATGGAGGAGCCGCAGGATGTTCACAAATTTTCTTGGGCACCCGATTTTTTGGAGGATGGTCCAGAGAGCGCTGCGATTCACTATGTCGAATGCCTTTGCAAGGTCGATGAATGCCATGTACAGAGGTTGGTTTTGTTCCCTGATCACTTTGCAGAAGGAGGTTGGTCTGGATGGGCCTTGGGATCTCTTCCATCTCTAGGGTTCTATGGCTTTGTGTGAGTTCAAGTGAGGAGGGGTCTCTCCCATGTTATTCTCACCTACCTGCCCCCATCCCTGCTTCTTCCAAGGGACACTGTGCAGGCCACATTGGCGGAGCCTGGGAGTCACTCTGGACCGTGCTCTGACCTACAAGAAGCACTGCCTGAACATTAAGCAAAAAGTGGGTGCTGGAAACAATATCATACGAAAGCTGACTGGCACAACCTGGGGATCACAACCAGACACAGTGAAGACATCTGCCCTTGCGCTATGCTACTCTGCTGCTGAGTATGCATGCCCAGTGTGGAACACATCTCACCACACTAAAACAGTGGGTGTGGCTCTTAATGAGACATGCCGCATTATCACGGGGTGTCTGCGCCCTACACCACTGTTTAGCCTGTATTGCACCACCTGACATCCGCCGGGAAGTAGCAGCCAATAGTGAAAGGACCAAGGCAGACATCTCCAGCTCATCCCCTGTTTGGGTATCAGCCAGCACGTCAACGACTTAAATCTAGAAATAGTTTTCTAAGATCTACAGAGACACTCGCTGGAACACCTCAGCAAGCGAGAGTTCAAAAGTGGCAGGCTCAAACCCAGAACCTCAACCAATGGCTGATACCAAATGAGAGACTCCCCCCTGGGCACACAGACTGGGCGACTTGGAAGGCGCTGAACAGACTGCGCTCTGGCACCACGAGATGCAGAGCCAACCTTCCGAAATGGGGCTACAAAGTGGAATCCTCGGCATGCGAGTGTGGAGAAGAGCAAACCACTGACCACCTGCTGCAATGCAACCTGAGCCCTGCCACATGCACAATGGAGGACCTTCTTGCAGCAACACCAGAAGCACTCCAAGTGGCCAGATACTGGTCAAAGGACATTTAACCAACTACCAAACTCACAAGTTTTGTATTTGTCTGTTTGTTTGCTTTCT